TAGGGAAAGTGTTCCGACCCTTTTATCATTCGAGTTGCCCTTTTCTGCACTTTTTCCAGTGCTATAATATCCTTTTTGAGGTGGGGTGACCAGAACTATACACAGTACTCCAAATGAGGTGGCACCATTGATTTAGACAGGGGCATTATGATACTTGCTGCTATCTGCCACTGACTTGCCTACCCAACTGAGCCAGTGATGGAGGCCAGAAACGGCAGGGGCCGCCAACTAGAGGGAGAGGGCAAGCTAGCAAGAGGTGGGTGATGCTTGGGATTTTGGCAGCTGCTGCTCATTCGCCCAAGTGAGCAGGGAAGAAGCAACCCCCCCCCAAAAAAAAACCCCTACAACTCACAGGATGCTGTGGGAGGAGCCATAACACATCAACTTTTCGAAGACAGCTTTCTTCTTAAAAGGGAAGCTTTGAGAAAAATGTTGGTCATACCCTGAATTAAAATTTGGTGGCACCATCTCACAGGCCCCAAATTGGTTGCCTTTGGTTTGCGGGTCACCCATCAGACTACCCCCAAGAGGAGGGATACCTTAGTTTAAGGACAGTATTTAATTTCTCATCCCTGCCGTTTCTGGCTCAGGATCTTCGTTTTGGATTTACGTTTGCCTTGTGCAAATGGTATGTTGAACATTTTCACACATTGCTTCAAATTAAAACATCCACCAGTACATATAAATACATTAGTTTTATAGGACACACGTGTTCTAGATACACGGGACCTCCATTTCGCACATAAATACTGTAAATGTTGCACATTAAATTCGACAGCAGCAAAAATGTTTGACAAAAATATGCACGGATATTAAAAGGAACAAAATAGGGAATGCTGCCTTCACTCCTGTCTCTTTGTACGAATCAGCCACAGTAGAGGACTCGGGTTACCTGAGAGACACACAATCACCTCCTGATCCATTGAACCTATTAGAATCCCTTTTTTTCCTGAAATGGACAGTGATTTACTTGTAATGTATGGATAGTTTAAGGACAGTATTTAATTTCTCATCCCTGCCGTTTCTGGCTCAGGATCTTCGTTTTGGATTTACGTTTGCCTTGTGCAAATGGTATGTTGAAAATGTTCACACCTTGCTTCATATTAAAACATCCACTACTTATAAATACATTAGTTTTATAGGACACACGTGTTCTACATACACGGGACCTCCATTTCGCACATTAAATACTGTAAATGTTGCACATTAAACTTGACAGGAGCAAAAATGTTTGTCAAAAATATGCACGAGATCGTTCGAGGGAAAACCATAGAGTTTTTCCTCGAACGATACAGCGTCCTCCTGCAACACGCCCTGCGCAATGACATCGCCTCCACGTGACGTCATTGGGCTGGGCACTTTTGCCTGACCGCGGCCCTTTGGAGGCGGGGTTCTCCCACTGGCTGGATCCAGGCTGGCGGGTTGGGGGCCCTAAAAGCGGGCAACCCCCCTCGTCGGGGGAATGGCAAGCCTAAACTGAGTTCCGAAAAAAGAGCGGTAAGTAAAGGTAAAGGTTCCCTTGCTCGAAAGCCAGTCGAATCCGACTCTAGGGTTGCGGTGCTCATCTCCGTTTCAAAGCCGAAGAGCCAGCGCTGTCCGAGGACGTTTCCGTGGTCATGTGGCTGGCATGACTAAACACCGAGGCGCACGGAACGCTGTTCCCTTCCCACCAAAGTGGTACCTATTTATCTACTTGCAATTTCTTGCTTTCGAACTGCTAGGTTGGCAGGAGCTGGAACTAGAGATGGGAGCTCACTCCGTCATGCGGCAACCGGGGTCTCGATCGGCTGAGTATGGCACAAAACCTCCCATCACCAAATTCCACTCTGAATCCTCAGCTGGAGACAGGGGAGGTGACAGTTCTGCCAGTTAGCACTCGTAGAGGATTCAAAACTTCTGACTCCCCTTGGGACTAGAATAGAAAACACACTCCGTATATGCTCAGAAGTGCCTTGGCCTCCAGACAAAACCCTCATGGTTATGAAGAAGGTCAAAAGAAGTCCTGCCACGACGGCCTTTGGAACGTCTCCCACCCAACCCCAGCTGAGACTTACCCACTGGAGGAGGTGCTCGGAAGTGTCCGTCTCATCCCTGTGCTGGAGGGATTGAGGTCATAAGCCAGGTGTCCTTGCAACTCCCCCAAGGAGAAATTTGGCCCCGTCCCCGTCACCACTGGCGCTGCAGAGGATACAGAGACGAAGTCCCATCAACACACAGCCAGGTACCCAGTTCAGAAGACGGAAGGACGAAAGTCAGTTTTCTGCCTGCGATGCTGAACAGCTCCGTCTTCTTTAATGGGCATCCCACGCCAGAGTTCCTGTGCTTTTCTGCAGAGATACACAGCAAACTCCCCTTCCCCTTTTTGGGGTTTTGCATCCAAACCTGCCCTCTTTCCACTCATGAAGGAATTTTACTATAACGCCCAGCCATAATGCCATCTTCCAGTACCAGAGTCTGGGGGCTAGCCAATGGAAGATTCACACCATCTAATGCCACCCAGAAATTAGACAGAACCGGGGGGGGTTTTGTAGAAAAAGCCCAGCAGGAACTCATTAGCATAATAGGCCACACCCAACAGCAGAAACACACTAGCATATTAGGCCATACCCCTGACAGCACAGCTCATTAGAATATTAGGCCACACCCCACATGTTACCAGAAGTGTGGTCATCCAGCCACACCCTCCCTTTGCTTCTTATTCTGTTTACTTTGTTGTCAAAACCCTGCGCTTTTCTTGTAGCAGGAACTTCTTTGCATGTTAGGCCACACACCCCTAATGTAGCCAATCCTAATGAGTGTCTGCTGTTAGGTGTGGCCTATTATGCCAATGAGTTACTGCTGGGCGTGGCCAACTCAGGAGCCAGTCGGAACTCCGTTCCTGTGCGTTCCTGCCCAAAAACAGCCCTGGACAGAACTAAAGGTGGTTGTGGGAAACTAATTTTCCAGCCTATAGGAACGTCACACAATTGTTTCGCCTCCCCAGATAGAGACTAGCTGATTCTGAGCCAAAACAACATACATAACGGAAACTCCAGATGTATGATTTGCCACTAAAAGCAGTAGCTACATATAGGGTTGCCAAGTGAATTTTACTCACCGGCGGGGGAGCCTCGCCACGCTCTGGGAGCCGTTCCTCGTCACGCACACGCGCGCCGGCAGCACGTCACCGGAAGTGACGCGCGACGTCGATCATGTTGAGGGCGTGGCCCCGATCGTCGGAGGAGAAATCGGGCCTCCAAAGCGGGGGTTTACCCGCCACCCACTCCCACTTGGCAGCCCTAGCTACATATACAGGAACTGGGGAGGAGGTAGTAGAAAAGAGCAAGGGTCCAGTAGCACCTTAAAGACTAACACAATTTGTGGCAGGGTAGACTCTTTCATGAGTCACTGCTTACTTCTACTTCAGAGGAGGGGAGGAGGGTAAATTTGACGGGAGGAGCACCCTCATCCCTGATTGAAAATATGCCCCTCCCATATTTAAATAATTAGTTAGGATAACATTTAGATGTATATAAACAATTAAGACGATATCAAGATTTTTACATTGATTTAATTTTAGCATAGAAGTCTGTTCAACTGTTAAAGATGTAATCTCTTTTATTGTTAACAGACTATCTCTAGGAAAGTTCTTGTCCATGCTTTAAAGAGAGAACCCATCCCAAAATTCTGTAATATTGATCTTTTATTGTCTGCTTCTATATTTGAAATATGTAATACATTTGGTAATACGTCTGATTTTACTTGTTGTACGTAACAACTCATATTATTTGACAAACCTGATACATCTGTATTTCCCCCCTACCCCTTTCCCCTTCTGTATCCCGCCTTTTTTAGAGAAAATAATAAAAAAATTAAATTAAAAAAACCAAACAAATTTCCTACCCCAGAAGAGTATTAAAAAAATATGCCCCTCCCAAAATGCCTTAAGCTGCACAGACCCCAGCATTGTGTTTTTTTCTTCCTGCTGGGGCTTAAAGCTTTGGGAAAGGGGGATATTTGATTAAGGAAATTGTATGGAGGGGAACAATTAACCTTCCCCTTTTCTCCATCCTTAATTCATGTTGCCTCCCCAAAATCCTTTTTAGGGCCAAATTATACATCTGGAATCCTCATCATGGAACACCAGTTCTGGGTGAAGTTTGGCCTGGAGTCAAGCCAGGAAGCCATTTGTACTTAAACCTAAATTTAGTATCCAAAGAACAAGTCAGGTTTCAGGCTGAAAAACCTGAACTTTTTCAAAAAAAGGGGGGGGGAGAGAAAATCAGAATTTTGAGCTGGGTAGTCTCAAGAGTTAGAATGGAATCATACTTTTTAAAGGCTGCCCTTTCTTAATAAGACTGTCCCATTTCAAACGTTTAGCATATGAGATGTCTGTTTCAGGCAAAGACAGACTAGACTGAAAATTTCAACTTTCGTTAAAAAAGACGAAAGTTAAGTCCTCAGGCACCTATGGCAAGAAATACTGAAATGTCAAAAATTGGTAGTGGAACAGGATTTCTAGTGTTCTGAAAGGAAGTGTGGTCCTCAGCTGCTGTCAGAATTCCTTGCTCTTCACTAGGACTTGCCAAAAAATGAATTTATGCACACGCAAAAAAAGATAAACATTGCAGAATAAACTATGTCATCAAAGCAAAGCCTGCTGATCATTGCAGTGGGAGAAATTGGAAGGGTTGTGTCTGAGCCCGGAAGTGATGTCACTTCTGGGCAACACCTTGGGAATCCCCCAAATCTGTACGGCAAAGACCACAGAGATTTGGGGAGGGATTCCTAGGGCACTGGCCATCACTTCTCGGCAGCACAGTTCAGGTGCGACACCTTGGGAATCCCCCAAATCTGTACGGTAAAGACCACAGATATTTGGGGAGGGATTCCTAAGGCACTGGCCATCACTTCTTGGCAGCACAGTTCAGGTGCAATTCCCTCCCCCACTTTCTCCCACCACGATAATCAGCATCTACTGGCAAGTCCACAGATTAGCTGGCAAACACCTTATGGGGATGAGCAGATCGCAATCCTGTATGCAAAACAGAACAAGTACAGGTTTGAATAGATCAATACAAAATTTAGCTTTGCTTGGTGCAGAATGCGTATCACTGAGGTGGAGTGATTGCATGCCCACCTCCCCATTGGCAGAGCCAATGATGACACTGAGCTGCTTCGGCGGGAGGGCGGGGTAAAAGTCTAACAAATAAATAAATAAACATCCTCCATTCTTGGTATCTTTCAACCGTACTCAGTTTTCAGCACTGAGGTCACTTCAGTCGATATCCTACCTCTGCATCTTTATTTCCAGTTTCTCCTTTACTTTTATTTCCATCAGTATTTAATTTGATTCCCATCTATCTTAAATATTTGGATTCTGCATTCTCACCTAGGGTCTCTTTCCTTTTCTGCTTCTTGTGGGGGTGGCAAAAAGCATCCCTCCCAGAAGCCTTGCTGTTTTAACATATTTACCTATGCTAGGAAGAATACTTGTAAATACATCCAAAGCAGGCTTCTGGGAGGAAGGCCTTTCGCCTCAATAAGTAAAAGAGCTATAAAGGGAAGGGATGGAAAAGGAAAAATAATGCTTTTTTGGTCTGAAGGTTCCCAGAGCTTGGGTGGACAAGCTCCTGGATTGCAAAGCCTTTTCTGGCTGAGGATCCAGAGAGGCTTTCCCACTGTTCAACAGAACCTTAAAAATGAATCTTTCAGGAATGTCTATTTAGTTCACATGGATCTATAATATGATGAGTGAGGAAGCTGACTGGGCATGCTTTGCAGCTGGAAATGGAAGTACCCCAGAAGCCCTCTGTCGGGGCCTCTAGGGCAGTCACCTGTTTCCAGCTGGAAGAGATGCCCAGAGGGAAGCAGTGGAGCAAGAGCTTCTTCACAGTTCTCCTCCACAGCGGTCAGCAATCAGGGGACGGTAGTGGGCTCATTTGGGGCAGCCGCCCTAAAATGCCAGCCCTTAATGCCATCTTTGCACACAATCCCACAGCCTTGCCCCCAGAGAGAAACAGCTGTGAAGTACTCACTTCGGGAGACTTGGATAAGCTCCGTGACACTGAAGACGCCTGACGTGACAAAATTTTCTTGGAAATCTGTCGCATCTACACAAAAGAGATTATTTTCACACATTAAAGGGAATTCCAAAAAAATCGTTTCAGTCATTCCCCCCCCCCTGAATTGTTAAAATGTTGAGTTTTTAATACTAGGAGAGATTCAGAAACCGTTAAAACATGTCTTTTCCTGTATTTCCATGATGTTTTGTGCTTTCATGCCAATAAAGGTTTTGTGTTTGTGTTTGTTTAAAACATGTCAGCTTAGCAAGTTGCCCGTCACTTGCTCTGTGGTACAAACAAGACCTTTTTTTTCTTTCTGTAAATTGTCACAGAGGGCCTTGCAGATTCATTGCTTACTCTGATGTTTTCCCAAGTTGCATAAAGTTAACTGGGGAAAAGATCTACTGTAAATAAACACAACACAGAGCAAACTGAAAAACTCCTGGATTCGATTCATACAAGGCAGCAGAGACATTAAAATGGAAATTTGGGGGCCAGAATGTCAGGATTGTAAAATGCAATCGCTAGGCCTATTTAGAGAGATCAAATGTTTCTTCTGAAGCAAACTTTGGTGTGTGATTGATTTTAGTTTGGTTTATTTTTAGTTTGTTATTTTTTCATAGCTGGTTTAGTATGTGGGGGGAGGTTAACATTCTCTCCTTGGAGAACACATTTTGAGATGAAAAGCAAATGAAAAATAATCAGATAACTAAAATACTTGCATACCTCCTCCCTTCCCTCCCACACACACCAGAGCCCAACAAATGGCACTTTTAAAGATGTTAATTACAAACAAACCCTACACCAGATCGATTCAGATGGGTCGCCGTGTTGGTCCGAAGCAGCAGAACGAAGTTTGAGTCCAGTGGCACCTTAAAGACCAACAAAAATTTATTTGAGATTTAAGTTTTCGCGTGCAAGCACTTTGTTCTCCTGCGTCGGACTGTTTCGCAAAAATTCCAGAATCAACTTGGGCTATGGTTAAGAAAACTTTGTGCTTAAACTGCTCTACACGCATAATCTTGTTGTGGTCTTTACAACTGCCATGGCAAGTAGGCCAGTGTAGTTATCTCCATATTGCAGATTAAGGGACAAAGGCTGAGAAAGAGAGGACTGACAAGGCCACCGGCTATGTTTGCAGCAGAGCAAAGATTTGAACCACCAGCCTCCTAGATTGCAGTTCCTTTTTAGACACCTCATGACACCGGCTCAGTCTGGGGGGAAGCCAATCAGGATCACCGTGTGGAGGAACGAAGAGGAAGGGGTGGATCCTTGCATGGCTCCACCCAGGGCTTTTTTTGTAGAAAAAGCCCAGCAGGAACTCATTAGCATATTAGGCCACACCCAACAGCAGAAACTCATTAGCCTATTAGGCCACACCCCTGAAAGCACAGCTCATTGGCATATTAGGCCACACCCCATGTTACCAGAAGTGTGGTCATCCAGCCACACCCACCTTTTGCTCCTTATTCTGTTTACCTTGTTTGTTGTCCAAACCCAGGGCCTTTTTTTGTAGCAGGAACTCCTTTGCATGTTAGGCCACACACCCCTAATGTAGCAAATCCTAATGAGTTCCTGCTGCTGGGTGTGGCCTATTATGTTAATGAGTTCCTGCTGGGCGTGGCCAACTCGGGAGCCAGCCGGAACTCCGTTCCTGTGCGTTCCTGCCCCAAAATAGCCCTGGCTCCACCCCTGGCAGCCCACAGGTTCCTTCTAACCCGGTTTAGTGATAAAAGCTTCCAGGACCAGGCTGGGCTGCAACAAGATTCTGGTCTGGCCGGTGCAACTCTGCTGACATGTCCCAGCCTTCTCTCCCCAAAGAAAGATTCCCCTCCTTAACTCCCTGCTTGGCTGCACAACCTCCCAGTTTCCCTCGCCCACTCCCCTGCCTTTTGACCTGCCTCCACATTTTTCTCTTTCTTGGCTAGCCTGCCATATGTTTTGATGTGCAGCTTTCAAAAAAGAAAAAATCAATACAATACATTCAATTAGGAATTAGAAACACATCGATGAAACGTAATAGCAGCTGGTGGTAAGGAAACAGGAGGAAGTAAATTCCGGAGCCAAAGGATACCTCCCCGAATGTGTGTCAGAATACAGGGGGCCAGACTAGACATGATGTCTGCTGCAATTGGGTTAAAAAGGTAAAGGTTCCCCTTGCTCGAAAGCCAGTCGAATCCGACTCTAGGGTTGCGGTGCTCATCTCCGTTTCCAAGCCGAAGAGCCAGCGCTGTCCGAAGACGTTTCCGTGGTCATGTGGCCAGCATGACTAAACACCAAGGCGCACAGAACGCTGTTCCCTTCCCACCAAAGTGGTACCTATTTATCTACTTGCAATTTCTTGCTTTCGAACTGCTAGGTTGAAAGGAGCTGGAACTAGAGACGGGAGCTCACTCCGTCTTGGGGCACCCAGGTCTCGAACTGCTGAACTACTGACCTTCCACATCCTGCAGTTCAACGTCTTAACCACTTGAGCCACCGCAGCTTGGCTGCAAATTGGGTCGGGGTTCCCCAAATTACTGACACTTACTGACACAAGCACGTTGGGGCCCGATTCGGCTCGAGAGCACAGCACAGGGAATAATGGGTTTCAGCCTTCCCACCCCCCCATGTTGTTTTCCTGAGTCAAATCCAGCCCCAGTGGGCTTGGGAATGTTCATTCCCTGATGTCACGTCTGTCTGTAAATTGGAGAATCCCAACCAGATTTGTGGTCGGCATCACATCTAGTCTGACCCTAGAATCATAGAATTGGAAGGGATCTCCAGGGTCATCTAGTCCAGCCGCCTACACAATGCAGGAAACTCACAAATACCTCCCCCACCCACCCCTATGCCCATGCCCAGAAGATGACAAAAAACCTCCAGGATCTCCAGCCAAACTGGCCTGGATAAAAACTGCTTCCTGACCCCAAAGTGGCGATCAGCATTTCCCTGGGCTTGTAAGAAAGGGCCACAAGAACTAAGCACTGATACAACCCTTCCTGCCTTCCCTCTCATGATCTGCCGAAGTTCACAGAATCAGCTTTGCTGTCAGATGGCCAAAGCAAGTTCTAACCCCTGATCTTTTTTGTTATCTTCTTTTGAGCCTATTTGGAAATCATTTGAAGATCCAGTGTGGTGTGGTACTTAGAATGTTGGGTTAGGATCTGCGGGGGCCCCAGTTCGAACGCTGGGTGACCTTGGGCCAGTCACGCTTTCTCAGCTTGAGAGGGCAATTTGGATAGGACATATTTGGAAGATAAGGGTTTGGGATGCTCTCCCTCTCTCTTCCCTCAGCTGTTTTGCTCAAAACCTCACATGGCTACATTAAATTTTTTAAGAAGTCATGGGACACTGTACGTGCGTTCCACAAGCTGCATCGTAATTGGCTTTTTCCACCCTTCTATGCATTGATTAAACTCTGTGGGGGGAAAGAAAAGACCCTTCATGCAAACACAAACGGGGAGTGTATTGTTTTGTTTTGGTCAGAATTTCTTGATGCGCACACATGCTCCTAGATGTTCACAAAATCACTACCCCAAAAAATAATCCAGATAAAACTGTACATACAGTTATATCAAGATCACATCTTCCCAGTTTTCGAGGCACACGTTGGTGGCATAGTTGGGGGGGGGGAGGAATAGGCGCATGAACGGAAGGCGCTGAGCACCGGGGCAAAGATTGCATGGGTGGCTTGTACAAAAACCAGAAATACAATATGGAACAAAGAACAATTTCCCAGTGTTCCCATCTGGAAACAAGGCCAGGTAATTGGGAACTTCAAAACCCAGGAAGAAATTCGAACAAGTAGGATTTTGTAAGGATCGTGAACAACAGTGAAGCCCCATCTAATGACCAAATTGCCCTGCCTGGAAGGTTTGTGTGGGAGGATGCAGAGGTTGGGACGTCGAACTGAACCGGAGCCAATTCCAGCTCAGGCGTAATGCGCTTTCTTCAGGCTGCTCCATTCAACAAGCAGTGTCCCACAGTGAACGAAATTTCGTCGCTGTGGTCCAGCTTGGAGGTGTGATCCGCTCCTTCGGCCCAGATCTAATCCTGCACGTGAGTTTTCCTTCTGGGTTAGTTCTCCTGTACTTCTGTCTCAGAGCTGTGGTCCTGATCCTCCCAGGATTCTGGAAACAGTCCTGCCCACCCACAATGCACTCAAGCTGCCCACTTTTGATCCAAAGTATCAGAGAGCTGGGGAAAGTGCTGAAAAGAAGCAGCCAGAAAAATCCAGGGACTTTTTAGTTCTGGGGAAAAAAGGGTAATCCAAGGAGGGGGCATGACAGAGGCTTCTACAATGATAAAGAGGGTGGGGAAAATGGAAAGAGGAGCAGAAGGAGGAGGAGATTGGATTTATACCCCGCCCTTCACTACCCAAAGGTGTCTCAGAGCGGCTTACGATCTCCTTTCCCTCCCCCTCCCCACAACAGACACCCTGTGAGGTAGGTGGGGCTGAGAGAGCTCTTGACAGAAACTGCTCTTTTTTCAAGAACAGCTCTTATCAGAACTATGGCTTGCCCAAGGTCCTCCAGCCAGGTGCAAGTGGAGGAGTGAGGAATCAAACCCGGTTCTCCCAGATTAGAGTCCGCACACTTAACCACTACACCTCTTCCTTAAGGGGACCTAATGAAATCGACGAGCGAAAGATTCGGGGCAGACGAAAAGAAGCACTTTTTGATGTGACACTGTAACTAACTTGTGGAACTCACGGCTACAAGGTGTCATGATGGGTACCGGAACAGGCAGCTTTAAGGGGGGGGAGGGTTAGATGATTCACTGAAGGCCCATCCAAAGTTCTTAGCCTTGTGCCAAAGCAGTGTATCGCCAAATCTCACTTTTGGGGAGGGGGCAACTAGCTGGCAACTATGTGGAACAGGATGTTGGTCTAAGTGGATCATTGGCCTGATTCAGCTAGGCCCACCCTGCACTGTTTTGCCAAATATAGTCTTCCTTCATTTTATACTTTGAGCAGAGAGTGATACAAACAGATTCCTGTATGCGCACACACACACACACACATATCCCCCTTTCAGTTCTTGCTCACCCAATGTGATGATGGGTTTGCTGTCCTCTTGGTCTGAACCGATTCCCGTCCTTGGGCTGCTGCTCTGATCTGAATCTGAAAATAAAAACCACAAGATGTACATGAGATCGGTGCATTATGTGGGCGCACCTTTGCCACCTTTCGAAAATCCGAAACGGAGAGTTTTACGGCCAGGCCAAAACCAAGAAGCAACCCTGGTCTCCTCTGTGACAGCAGAATTCCAGGGGTGCCATTGAAATAGCACATCCCTGCCCTGGAGACACTATTCGTGTTAACGTTTTTAAAATACAGTCCTTTTTTTGTGTGTTTTAAGAGCACAGCTCCTCCTTTGAAACTCTTTCTGGCTACTGATTCCAGGATTTTAAGAAGCTTGTTCAAATGCTGCTCAAATTAAAAATTGCAGTGTTGGAAGACTGGGGGGAGGGGGAATACTTTAGCAATCATATGCCAAAATCCCGAACAGAATGGACTTCGGTGGATTTAGAATGGTATCATTCTTCTCAGGATTGCACTGTTAGTTTTCTCAATGCAGGGAATTTCTGTTTAAATCCCAGCTCAGCCACTAAGCTTACTGGAGGACCGTAGGCCAGTCATGCAGTTGCAGCTTGGCCTACCTCGCAGGCTTGTTGTGAGGATCAAATCAGGGGGGGTCAATTTATGCTGCCTTGATCTTCTCGGAGGGGAAATGTGATGAAAACATGACATTTTTCAATACGTGTGTATTCACACATGGAAATGAGCTATGGGAAATCAAGCCTGCATTGCGCGGCACCAAACTAAGACTGGGGAAACTCGAGTTCAAATGCCCACCCAGCCACAAAACTCACTGGATGACTTTGGCCCAGCCGTTCTCTCTCAACCTAGCCTACTTTGCAGCTTTGTGGTGAGGATAAAACGGAGGCGGGGAAATCCACGTACGCTATCGTGGGTTCCTCAGAAGAACGCTGGGATTAAAAAAAAAAGTAATACATATGCCCAGGGGTCATTTCCTGCAGGAGCGCACAGGAGCAGAGCTCTGGCAGTAAGGAGCCCAGGGGGTGGGCACATGCAACAAGCCCCGCCCCCTGCTCCCAGCAGCCCTCAGTCGGGCCACAAGGCGCAAGAAGCAGCCAGGTAAGTTGCAGAGGGGGCCCCCCGCCCGCCTTCAGGTACAAGCTCTCCCTTCTCTGTGAGGGCAGATCTGTGAATCCCCCCGCTAGCAATCCAAAACAGTCCAGTGGCACCTTTAAGACCAAATTTGATTCAGGTACAAGCTCTCCCTCCTCTGTGAGGGCAGATCTGCATGTCCCCCCCCCCCACAAATAGCTAGCAATCCAAAACAGTCCAGTGGAGCCTGAGGGGTGGGTGTTGCCTTCTGACACACTTCCGGTGATGTCAGGGGGTGTGGCATATGCAAATAGGTTATGTAAATAAGTTATGCTAATGAGCTCCTGCACCTCTTTTTCTATGAAATGACCCCTGCATATGCCCAATAAACTTTTGCCACCACTTGTGGCAGAAGAAGGTTTCTTTAATGCAGATTTTAATATTTTAACAAAATATGGCTGTCACAAAAGCACAAGGGCCCTGAGGATGGGGGGGGCCCACACGGTAACCCCAGTGATACACCCTCACAGTGCAGAATCAAACAGTGGCTGACCACGAGACCGCTGTCTGGGTTGGCTCTGGATGCTAATGGCTGTTCTTTGTAATATCATTTTAGCAGTAATGGACAATCCCCCCCGCCGCCCAGTGCTCCCCCCCCCCATAGCACTCTCTTTGCTGCCGGCGTCGTGATTAACAAGCGGCCGCCACAGATTGGAGCCTCCTCCGCCTCCTCCCTTTGCTGGCTGCCAGAAGCAGACGCAGGCCTGACCTCAGAACCTCCGAGGCGCCACAAAGCCAGGGCAGGCGGCACCGTTGCGGATCCTGGACCAGCACAAAGAGCAGGGGGGTTTTGCTTGCCATCTTACGAGTTCCAAACCTGGGTGGCGAGAGTGTTTGGTGTTTACTTATTTACTCCCCCCCAAAAAACAAAAATCAGAGAGATCAGTGACGACTATGGTGAGGCCTCATTTGGAATACTGTGTACAGTTCTGGTCACCAGTGTTCCCTCTGAGGCGACTTAGTGAGAGCTAGTTCACAATTTTTTAGCCTCCAGCTCACAGATTTTTGTCTTCGCTCAGGAAGGAGGGCTCCAGAGCAAACTAATTTATGCAGGAGCCAAAGCGCTGGCTCACAACTTTAATGCCAGTAGCTCACAAAGTAGAATTTTTGCTCACAAGACTCCACAGCTTAGTGGGAACATTGCTGGTCACCACACCTCAGAAAAGATATAGCATTGGAGAAGGTGCAGGAAAGGTGCGACTAAAATGGTTAAAGGAATGGAACACCTTCCCTCACAACTTTAATGCCTGTAGCTCACAAAGTATATTTTTTGCTCACCAGACTCCACAGTTTAGAGGGAACATTGGTGGCAGCTACCAGCATAGACAGCTTGAAGAGGGAATTGGATAAAACATACGGCGCACAGGTCCATCAGCAGCTATTAGCCACAAGGTATAGATGGAACACTCTGTCTGGGGCAGTAATGCTCTGTATTCTTGGTGCTTGGGGGGCAACAGTGGGAGGCCTTCTGGAGTTCTGGCCCCACTGGTGGACCTCCTGATGGCACCTTGGGTTTGGCTACTGTGTGATAACACAGACTGTTGGACTGGATGGGCCACTGGCCTGATCCAACATGGCTTCTCTTATGCTCTTATGACTGAAAGGGGTACTTGACAAGTTCTGGAGGGGCCCCCTTCCCTACCAAGCATCCTAACGTACCTCAAGCGTTGTTGAGGGGGGAGAGGGAGAACCTGAGTTCATTGGCAGAAAGGTACAATGAAGATTTAATAGAATCACTCCAAACAACCCGACTTAGCCATTGGTATGAAAGCATAACATCACAACATACAGACTAGCGTGAAGGCAGCCGCCCTCTCAGTAGTGCAGTGGTCGCAGATGTACATTGCGAAACACCATGCGTTTCCCTGTTGGTGTGTCACATGAAGCTGTCTCATACTCAGGGGTCATTTTGTAGAAAAAGAGGTGCAGGAGCTCATTAGCATAATTCGTTAGCATAACTTATTTGCATATGCCACACCCTCTGACACCACCGGAAGTGTGTCAGAAGGCAACACCCACCGCTCAGGCTCCACTGGACTGTTTTGGATTGCTAACTAGGGGGGGGAGATGCACAGATCTGCCTTCACAGAGGAGGGAAAGCTTGTACCTGAATAAACCTTGGCCTTAAAGGTGCCACTGGATTCCTTTGGATTGCTATCTCGGTGGGGGGGGGGGCTCTGTAACTTACCTGGCTGCTTCTTGCTCCTTGTGACCCGGGGCTGATGGGAGCAGGGGGCGGGGCTTGTTGCATGTGCCCGCCCCCTGGGCTCTTTACTGCCGGAGCTCCGCTCCTGTGTGCTCCTGCAGGAAATGACCCCTGCTCATACTGAACTGGACCATTGGTCCACTGAGGTCAGGATGGTCTACTCAGACTGGCAGCCGCTCTCCAGAGTCTCAGGGGGAGGTCTTTCACATCACTTACTGTTTGGTCCTTTTAAACTGGAGGTACCCGGGATTGAACTTGGGACCTTCTGCATGCCAAGCAGATGATCTTCCACTGAGCCACGGCCCCTCCCAGCTTTCAACCTCGTATACAGAAGCAGCCAGCTCCATTTTGCTGGGCCCTTTCGAACAGGTACAGCCTCCCAACCAATACCGCCTTCGCTTTCAGGAGCCGGGCCAGCGTCCCGCTTTTGTCTTACTGTGTACTTCAATTTTAAACACTCCACTTGGGGACTGGGAGTGCAGCACATGCTTCCAGGCCACGAGAACTTTTTTTCCGTTTTCGTCATAAAGTTGGCAACACCACCTTACAGGAGACCCTAGGATTTTCCGCATTCTTATTTTCCTCGCTGTGTGTTCTTGTCCCCGCCCCCCCCCCCCCCCCCCCCCCCAGCCCTTTCCTGGAGAAGGAAATGGGGCTTTGCCGTTTGGACAGCAAAAAAGGGAGAAAGAGAGGAACGTTGCCGCAACCCTCCCCTCCCCTCCCACCTCCTGCTTTCTCTTCCTCATCAGAAACACAACTCACGCCTCGCGCGGGCTGCAACCCAGAACGTGGCGTGCTTTGCTTTCCATCTTATCTAAAAATAATCAAGCTCTTTGGGCAGCCACTGCAGACGCTGAGCTCAGCATTATCGGTTCCTACTGGCATCCTGGATTAGCCTCCACACACACACACACACACACAAACTTCCAATTCAGTCTCCACTTTCTCTCCCAACTACACACACACACACACACACACAGAGCGCTCAGATTTTGATGCGGAAACCTTTGGCTGGAACACCCACGTCCCTGAATATCCTTGATGCAGGAGGATTGTTGTGTTTTTTTTAAAAAAAGCAAGTCTCCACTTTCTCTCCCAACTACACACACACACACGCACACACAGAGCGCTCAGATTTTGATGCGGAAACCTTTGGCTGGAACACCCACGTCCCTGAATATCCTTGATGCAGGAGGATTGTTGTGTTTTTTTAAAAAAAAAAAAGCAAGAGGACGTGGCAGAGAGGCACTCCAAGCTGGTGGGACCTCAGTGCCAGAGATCGCTCCTTTGTCCTGATGCCCGGCTCGAGCCAAAATTATTTGCCCGGTTTTGCATTTTGTGGAGGCGCTGGGGTTGCCGTTCGTAGCAAGCACCGGCACGAGCGTCTAGGCAAAAGATTTCAGGCCCCGTCCCATTAAGCTCAGGGGTTTAAATCAGGGCAAGGGAAGGGGGGGGAGTGCTTTTTACTATGACACACTGGCTTGGGGACCCTGTTTGGGTGGAAAGGCAGCACAGGAATGCTTTATTATAGAAATCAATAGATTTTTCTGGACATGGAAGGCCGGCTTCAGTATACCCTCAAGGACAGCAGCTGCCGAGGCCCATGGCTTCTGGCAGGGCCCACTACTGCTGACGCCCCCCCTCCCTTTCCCTGACTGCTCACTGGTGAGTTATTCACCACTAGTGTTCCCAGCTGCACATACTGCTCTGTGTCATGAAGAAC